GCTTCGGGCTTCGAGCTTGAGGGGGCCCTAAAATGTTTAGAGCAATTACAACTGACGGTCAACGGCCTAATACCGACGATTCCACTAGTTCAACCCAACCGTCTCGGCCTGTTTGAATTTCCGAGTTTGAGTCGTGCGAGCGGGATGGTAAACTGTGGACACGCTTTTGGACGATTAGAAGCGTTTATCAAAGAACCTTGTCGGTGAGTACGATCAAGACGCAGCAAGACGCTCCGCCAGCCGCGAAACGTCACGTGTTGTCGGCCTGTCATGCATGTCATGGTTGACCTTACATACATAGTCTCCCCAAGGCAGAATCTCTAACGGCTGCGGGCACCTGGACAGAGAAGATAGTACAGTATTAGTAGTCGCTCTAACTTCTCAGTTCTAGACTCTGTAAACTTGTGTGAAGAGCCACGTGATCGTTCCAAGCCACTGATGAGCTGTACAGTTTTTCGGAAACTGCCGGTGATCATTTCTATACCACCCGCGAGTTCACGACTCTATGCTTCAAGCTTGCTAAGTCTGTCTATGACTTGTTACTCTTGCTTTTTCTGCTATTGTTGATTGACTAATGCCCCATAATCTGAGTCCTGACAGTATCGGGGTTGAACGTTGAACACGGAAGGCAGCAGAGACTCGCTCTTTGGGTCCAAATAGCACCGCCGAAGCAGTCGTCACTGACTGTTAAATCAACCTGGAAAACCAAGCTGCGCGGACTGTCTTTTTAACGCCACTCATGGTGCCTTTTCCTATGCCCTCTGTCAGACTCTATCGATGTAGATTGCGCACTGCATCACGATCGTACGTCCTAACGAAGCCATGCGACAGCCTACAGATAAACGAAGGATCGTAATGACAAAGTCTCCGACTCTTTCGAGAACTAACATGCATATACTGCATCTCAGGACCTGGTAAGTTTCATACAAACCGTTGGAAACTCATTGCTAAACCATAATTACCTATGCCAGGTTGAGAATTAATCATTGAGAGAACACAGACCGACTGCTCATGGTACCGTTTGTCCAGTCGCAACATAGATGCTGTAGTGTAGTTCCCGTGTTTATCAACGTGAAACATGAAAAGCACCCAGGACACGTTGTATTCCTAGGCATCTCTACAATCTATTCGCGCTGAAGGACATTCCTGAATCAAGGCAGGACCAGATCGAACGCGTGGTACCAGGCAAAAAGATACTGTAGATTGGCAACGAAAATAACGGTACATATATTTCTTCAAACGAAAATGCATATCTTTCCCTCTCAGGACAAGGCAGGATCGTTCTCAGCAAAGAATTCGTAACTGTCTGCGTTCTAGTAATACGTAGATCAGATTGGTATTGGACGCTCAGCAACTGAAGGAGCTTGAGGAGACCAACCTTGATTGCCTGTTTGGGTTTACTAGACGCAAGCGATTTAGCGTCACTTTGTCCATACACGATATCGTCAGTCCCTGCGATCCGCTTAAAGTGCGAAACCTCGTGGACCAAAGTTCCAGCCTGGGAGTCGGTTCCGGTGAGAGGAGCTCCCCAGAAGGCACCACAAATGTTGATGATACCGTATTTACCAACTATATAACAAAATAAAACAGGATCAGAATCGAACGACGCGGATATCAGTGAGAGAGAGAGAGAGATAGACTTACCAGTAACAAACGCATACACATCAGAATCCGTGCAAGAACAATCATACGTCTCGCCAGAGAAGGCGTAACCCTTGATAGCTTTAAAGTTCTTGGCAACCTTTTTCTTGCGAGCCGCAGTGTAGGTTCCGAACCAAGTGGTGTAGCGAGCAGTTCCACTACTCAGAGAGTGGACGTAACTGGAGGAGTGATCATTTCAGTAAGCGCGCGACTGCCGATGAATAGTTAATACTTACGAACTGGCGCTACTGGCATATTTGGCAGCAGCGGTGGCAGCGTCGGCGATTTGACTCTTCTGGGTGGCAGAGCAATGCTTGTAGGTGGCTTTCTTCTCGACCTTTTCGAGATGAGTACCAGCGGCTTCCGAGTCGGGGTGACCGAGGCCCAGGTCAAGATCAAGGCCAAGATCAAGGTCGGGGAGGTCGAGGACGAGTTCACCCTTGATATTAACCTGGGATGATGTCTCCTGATTAGCGCGAAGCTCAATCAGCTCATTGGTGGCAGGGTCAATGATCTGGAAGAAGTTGTCCGCATGGATATCATAAAGACCCTCTCCGGGAAGCGTAAAGTTATACGCAGACGACACTGTCAAATGTTTGAGTTTACGAATATACAATGCCCTTTCGAAACTACCCACGATCATGCTCAACCTTGATAGATTTACCAGGCTCGAGGACCACAATCGACTCCTCCAACTTGGCAGCATGCTCGGGTACGAACTTGAGCTTGACACCGTTGAAGCTGGGTGTAACACCCTGTATATCGGTGATACCAAACGCCTCGGTGGGGAGAGTGGATAAAACACCGCGAGGGTCTTTCAAGATCTTCAAGGTCTCGTCTCCGGTGTTTTGCAAGGAAGCGACGACTTTCAGGTTTTTGATGCCGTCAACGTTCTCCGGACCTGTCATGGCGGTGGAGTTAACAATAATGGCAACAGTGGTGGTGGAAGACATGCTACGCACTGGAAACGGAAAGAGAGAGGCCGCGCGAGGCTGAGACGGCGATTGCGGACAGGCAAAGGCCAATAAGGGCAGAGTGAAGATTAGCGGAGAATTTCATGGTGTAACTGAAGCAAAGGGAGAGTCGGACGAAACTCCACAAAGGGTGCTGTGCTTTTAATACCTTGCCCGGCGAAGAGAAGATGCATCTCCCGCTGTCGCGCAGAGCGTTTGTGCTGTCTGTAGTACGCGAATGTATCATGATAGTGGATACCATGCTTCTCATGTGCTGTTTGTGGCGATATTGTAGAAGGCAAGGCAGATGGTGAACACGAAGAATGGAGGAGATGTATTCAGTGGCGCTGATATCCTGTTTATCCGTTCATGACTCTGGGCGACCGGCTGAGGCTCTCAGGTTGGTTTCCAGTACACTGCAGGAGTGCCTTTGGACCAAATCAATCAGTCACGGTAATCCGAAGCAGTCAATCACAAAAGATTCACCAATAGGTCCTTGAATGTCGTCAGTCGCCTCTTTCAACCCACTGCACCACTGGGACAGCATGATCAACCTGCCAAATTCAACTGACTTGAACTCGGAGAGTCGAAACCAGGAATGTCACAATTAGCACGTCGGATCTTCAGCTCCTCGGAATGGAACGGTAGAAGTCGTCCGAAATAGGGGCAACAGCAACTTGGATGCGGAGCCTCGAATTCGACTTGGAGTGCCAAAATACCGCTAAGGAGATATCAGACTTTTGCGTAGAAAAGGGAGTAGGATATCTCACATGCCGGAAGACCAGTATGCGTTGTTAGGGCTTCGAGGCTGCACTGAAATTCGAAGGTTATAAGATTACGAGTCACAGAACAAGGAAGACTCACCGACAGCTGCTTTCCAACTAGGCATCAGATCGTTCACAGTCAGCATGTACGCCCGCATGTGCATCTGGATATAATTGCCTTTGAGACTATAGTATTGGGTAATCTGACATGTCTGGTGTTCGAGAGAGATGAATGTAAGCCATGGGCCCGGTGCTGATAGGTTAATTTATACATACTTCGAGTTATCCCATACCGCACCATCTCTTTTACTCCCTACTCGTCCGTCTCCTTTCGTTCTGAAGCGATACTGCAAACCTAGGCTACTTGAAAGAGGACGTCAATCACACCTGACAGGTCAACAAGATGGCATGAATCTACTTTGACTACGCCTCCATCCACAAAATGAGGTTCCTCAGGTTTCCGGGCGAGAGAAAATCTTTCCGCCTTCACGTTTTTGAAAATGAAGGGAAAAGGCGAAGCCCAGTTGACACGGGATCTCCGATTCTGCTGTGTTCGTTCAGGCGTTCAAGTTGCCGGGTTCTGAGAACAACGAAAGAACGTTAGCCTCGCGAAGAAGTTACTTTGAGCGGGTCACGTACCTCATCAGCTTTGAAGCTTGAGGAACCAGAACTAAACAGTCAAAAAAAAGATCACGAAAGAACGTGGAAAACGTACCGACTACTCCAGTTGCGCGATCCACTCATACGAGTGTATCGACTCTCAAAGGTTAATGTTTAGGCAAGACGTTCCGTTTCTACCCATGCGAGGAGATGAGACCTGGAAGCTACACGTTGAGCACGAGATCCCGAAATGGAGGAGGAATCGCGTGCCTTGGGAGTCGGAGTCGGAGTTTTGTGTGTTTCTGAGCGTAATTTGGAGCTTTGAGTTTTAAGTGGATGATATGCTGGGAGCTCGAAGCCGGTGCGACGTGCGTGGAGAGGCCTGACAGTGACAGTGAAACGAAACGCATACTCCAGCCTCGTACTGTTCGCGAAGGTGGTGTTTGAGTGGTGTCACTGGGCAACGTTCAATACTTGTGAAGAGGAAGAAAACAGGGAAGAGAACACACCATTCATCGAGCGCTATGTATCTAGCATCGAGGGATTCCGAAGCAACCCAATTTGAATGAAAAACTCGGAGCACTGGGTTTGGTGTGTATGAAATCCGAGTGTTCCAAGGTTTAGGTTGAAGATTCCGACAGCGAGCCGGGGATCCGGTGTAGAGAAAGTTGAGTCACCTATAAAAAGCTTTCATTGTGAATACGATAGGGTTGTGATAGTCAAGAGAAGACGTACCGGCACCGCGACGTCTCGAATTCCAACCATCCGCATTTGAGTTTGAGTTGCTAAGCTCCATCGACGGTCGTGGTGGGGTATGGTTGATCTCGGAGATGTGATTGTTTCTTTTTGTTTCTTTTCGGGTACTGTCTCGAAGCTTAAAGCAGGAAGGACATGATGGCCAGCGGGCTGGGGAGGTGAAATCTTGGAGCCAAAGATTGCAAGAGTTCCGAGTGACGAAGTTTACCGGTAAGAAAAGGGAGAGTGAAAAGGACGCGTTTGGAATTAGAGGAGCAAAAAGGCACCTGGAGTTATTCTTCCATAGTGATTCGACCCAGGCTCGAACTGGGGACCTTCTGTGTAACATGAAATTTCGCGGCAGCTTGTTAGACAGATGCGATAACCAACTACGCCATCGAACCAGCTACCGTTTGTGCAACTTACATCTTGTTCATGGCATTCTCAAAACAGGCTCGTAAACGGCAGCATTCCATACCGTTCCACCCTTTTCTCCATCTTCCATCCAGCTTCCATACCATAAGCCAGTCATATAGCTCTCATTCAACCATCGTGGTATAAAGAAGCGCCCAAGCGACTAACGTGTCTCTTTCCAAAAACAGCAAGTGACACATCAACTACATAATCCCAGTGACCTCATCTCAACTTGAACCACTTCTCTCCAAACCACAATGCACCTGCGCATCCCAGCGCTCCTCCTCCTCTCCCTCCTCACTCCCTTTATCCACGCATCCTCCGTCGACCCACCAAACCTCCTCCCCCTAACCACACGCGCAAACCACCTCCTCTCCCTCGGTCAATTCAACGAGGCAGCTTCTGTCTACACCGAAGCCATCCAACTATCCCCTTCAGATTACCTATTGTACTATAAACGCGCTACTGCGTATCTCTCTCTTTCACGACATGGTGCTGCCTTGGAGGATTTCGATAAAGTCCTAGAATTGACGAATGGGACGTTTGATGGAGCCTATCTAATGAAAGCAAAGATTCACTTGAAGGAAGGTGAATACGACCTTGCGAGTGGGGCTGTTTCGGAGTACTTTAAGAGCCCTGGTGCTGGTGGTAGTGGGGCCAAAGCAACCGAAGCAGCGGACCTTCAAAGCAAGATTGAAGACGCTTCAAAGCTTTATTCCAAAGGTACCTCTTACTTTCCATGTATCCCTTTAAAAGTCCTACATGCTAACACAACCCTATACAGCCCGGAAAGAACACACCTCCCACCTCCCCACAGCCTGCGTAACCACCACCTCCACTCTAATCCACACCTACTCACCCTACAGCATCCCCATCCGCTCACTCCGCGCCGAATGTTCTCTTCTCTCCGGAGACGTCGCAGGCGCTGTAGGCGACTACACACGTCTCGCGTCCTTACTCCCGCCGGAAGACGCGATGAAACTCCACCTAGTGGTTTTCCGACTCAGCTATTTCTTCTTACCAGCGCCAGAAGAAGGCGTAGCGGCGTTGAACCCGTTGAAACAGTGTCTCCACTTTGATCCCGATAATAAGCAGTGTCTTTCGTTGCATCGGATTGCAAAGTCATTCGAACGGTCTTTCAGCAAGCTGCAGGGCCTGTTGGAGAAGGAAGATTGGAGAGGTGCCGTTGCGCTCTTAACCGACGCAGGAAAAGGCAAGGAAAAAGATTTGTTAAAGAAATTCGACGAAGCGCTCGAAAGCAATACTGCTCGTGCGCAACTCCTTCCACCAACATCGGCGTCACAGGAAGATATACCTCTACCGGATCCAAAGATCGCTTCGCCTAGGAGACAGACGCTCATTCGCGCTTTATGTCGGGCCTACACGCATCTAGCAGAGTCTTCGTCGGGATCAGCGTATCTGAGGAAAACAGAGATGTTCTGTGGAGAGTTGATTGGTATGGAAGGTTGCGCTGAGGATGTTGATGGGTTGGTTGGTAAAGCGAGTGTTTTACTTGCGAAGGATGAAGATGAGGATGTTGAGGAGGGAGTTAGAGTTTTGGAGAGGGCATTTGAAGCTACTGGCAGGTACGACTGCTCTCTTTTCTTTGTTTTGGTGGTGAAAGGCTGACATACGCTTGGGTAGATCGAATAGAGACATCCATAGAAAGCTTTCAGAGGCCAAGAAGGCGTTGAAGATGAGGAAGAGGAAAGATTATTACAAGGTCCTTGGGGTTAGTAGAGATGCAGATGAAAAGTCGATCAAGAAGGCTTAGTGAGTGTCTCTCTCTCTCTTTCTTTCCCTGTTTCTGTTATATTGTAGCTAACGCCTTTATTACCAGCCGCAAAGCAGCCAAAACCGCACACCCCGACAAAGGAGGCTCCGAAGCCAAAATGGCAGCTGTCAACGAAGCATACGAGGTTTTGAGTAATCCTGGTACGTGTCTTTCTCTCCTTCTCTTCCACTCACTAACACACAGCCAAATAGAACTCCGAGCCCGATTCGACGCAGGCGATGACCCCAACGATCCTACTTCCCAAGGCGGTGGACCGTTCCAGTATCATTACGGTGGTGGTGGTGGTGGAGGTGGTTTCGGAGGTGCAGATCATCCATTTGCGCAGTTTTTCCAGCAGAGTCCGCCTGGACACCATGGGGGACAGCAGTTTAAGTTCCATTTCGGTTAGAGGTGATCTATGTAATTGGTATAGTTGGGGAAGGGGGTGTATGTATGGACGTACGAACGATATGCGATAAGAAATGCTGGCGTTTTTCTTTTACGACCGTCCTTGAGTCTACCTCAAAGGATGAGGGTATGTAGAGGATAGTTGGGTTTATATGGTTCGATGGCGTAGTTGGTTATCGCATCTGTCTAACATGATCTTTAAAGGTCCTTACGCATGCTACACAGAAGGTCCCCAGTTCGAGCCTGGGTCGAATCATATATACAGTTTTCTCGCTTGTTTTTGACGATGTTCCCAAAGTCCAGTTGTTCATGCTACCTACTTTTTTTCCTAGGTAGTTGAACCGTAAACATACAGTACTTCCCTTTACTTTTATCGCGGGCGCCATAGTGTTAGTGTTACGTTGTCACAGTCACACGCCTACAACGCTCAGCCGCGGCGTTTCCTCTTCAACTCGGACTGTAGAGTCTAACCCTGGAACGCTGAATCTCGATTCTATCTCTCTGTCTCTGAAACTTGGATGGACTCTTACTCCCAGAAGGCTCAAACTCGATTCTACATACATGGACCCACTGGCAGGATTGTTTCAATTCCGACATACCTTCTCGCGTCGAAGAAATGGATAGACGTACGTATGAACACAAATTTCATCAAAAATTCAGTGTCCGAAACGGACTCGGGTCCGTCCGGTAACCGAGTTTGACTGCTTTTCCAACTCCAACTTCAACACTGTTAACGCCCATTAGCCGAGTGCAGCTTCAGTAATTCAAGTCCTTATGTATTATATACAATGTTGATTTGTAGCCATCCGACTTCATATCATGGCATTTTGGTGTTCTTACGAGTCGGTGCTGGTACGTGAAATAACCAAGGACCGACTCCGACTCCGGAGTCCGACAGACCAAGCGCCTGCCAGTCCAAAAATGGCAGGTAAGAAAGGGCATGTGATCAATTGATCAGTACGCGTCGCGACTTGCAAATCAATGAGTGTCGCGTCACCCGTTCCCTGTACATGAATGAAGACTCGGGAAAGGGTATTACATGGGTTCTTACACTGTTTCGAATCTCTTACTAGATAGTAGTCTATAGCTGATGCAAATGCAGCAACATTCAAAGTCTATCTCAGGTGCCGAGGCCTGGTGCAATTCTACGAGGAATAACCATTCATCCTTGGATTCTGAGTAGTGTATACTTGAGGAACCTCCTTTAGCTACCTTGAGGGAATGTCCCCTGGGATTCCATATCAAGATCCCATTGATGTTCGACCGCGCGATTAAAACTGATAAGTGTGTCACTGGTTGCTTTCACAGGTGAATATTAATTCGTATTCCGTAGACAAATACGCCTGAGACCTAGCCGTTCCTCGACTTGTTCCATATGCTCTAGAAGCACCCTAGTTGAACATTCTTCAAGCTTAAATATATGCCTCATGGAAATAAGTTATAACCCTTTCAAGCCCAACTCAAGGCCCAATTTGCCAAACTTGCCCACCAAATATCTTACAGCTGAGCACTGAAGTACTGAGCTTGTACAGATTCAGCTACTTATTACTGAAATTTTAGCATAATGACATTTACAGTCGCGCATTCAATATCCAATGTTCAACGCGTGTTTTCACCATCGAAAAACCGGCGCTTATTCAGCGCTTATCACTAATTTCTGGCGCTCCGTGGTTCCATATGCTTCGGCAAATCATTTGGAATGTAGAAAGAGGGTGTTGAACAGTCAGATATGGAATCGAAGAAGTACGACTGTCGCAGCACTAAGTACGAAGTCGGCTAAGTCGAAGTTGGAGTTGGTTTCAAAAAAGTCGAGCCCGGCTATCACTAATCTGGCGCCGGATCAAATACGGCCGGCTACAAACAGGATGCATCTCAGAGCTGAGCTAGTGTTAATTGCCATGTGGATATTCTATACTCGAATCATGACTATAGAATATCATGAGACGATAGCAGGAAACAAGTAGCTCAAAAAAAGTTGGAGTCGAAAGTTGGACTTGGTTAGCATAGTCGGATCAGGCACTCGGAGTCGGTTCGGCGGGTCGGAGTCAGATTTCTGATGAATTCTGGGTTCATACGTACGGTATGTGATATTTTTTCTCGTGTACCGTTCCGAATCTGAAGATCTTTTCTCGCTTGACTAGTATGATTCCCTCTTAGGTTCAGTGGATTCGAAGCTCGTCACTATTACAAAAATTCGCGCTTGTTTAGTTGTCTGGAGCCTGGGCTGTACTGTCGACATGTGGAAGGTATAAGTCACAGTGCGAGGAGCACATTCGAGGGGTTCTTGTTATATGTCGGGTACGTTTCTTCGTTCTAAAACCTGCTCACATCCTCCAAGCTTACCCCAACCCTCAGAATAGCCTATTAATCGCGTCGATTATGTGTTCCTCAAGCCCGTACCAGCAGGCTCCTTCACCAAGATCTTTCGCGTCTCCTTCCGAGAGGACGATGAGTCAACCTGCTCTGTCCCTTATCTCTTCGGGCCTCATCTCGTATGCCATTTGGCTCAGGCATCTCATGGAGAATCACCAGCGAAGCGACTACCGTGACGCTTTGGCCTGGACAATGATGCTCGAAGCCGGTACAACACGACGGTTACTAGAGTCGCTCAAGGTTGGAAACATTCTTACTCTTGTTCGTCGTGTTCCTGACACTTCTTACTGGCAGGTTCCTTCAAGAACAGAGTCTTTCGCTTCTCCTTTAGCCGGTATCTCTTCATCTCGTATGTTCGGTAGACAATCGCCTGCGAAGCGACTACCATATCGCCCATCGGCACCATAGGTATTTCGGTTGGATGGATCCTCGGAAGTTGGCTCTCAAATCCGTGATGAAAATCCTGGTACATGGTCGATGGTCATACAGCAAGGAAGAGCGTGAGTCTATCGTGGTTCTAATAGTATAATGCAGCACGCTCACATAACCGTTAGGACGATCAATTATTCACGTTTCGGATGTTAGTCGCTACGATGGTCGGCTCTCACTCAATGGTTTCGCAGGGTGTTCTTGCATTGAGTTGGGCCCGTTAATGTTTCGGCGCGGGAAGATCGCGGTCCATGTCAAATTCAGATCTCCAAAGAGGCCTTAAAAACCATCAAGTTCAATTGCACTCCCCCTCTAGCTTTATCTCGTATCTGCAGTCCTTCACTTCGCCTCCATTCTCAATATGCCCGGCCTATTTCAGAAACTTACCTTCCGAAGAATGGTTGTACACTTCGATACAGACATCGTCTTCGGCCATGAGTCATGGCGGCTTCCACAAGCTTCATCCTAGAGCGGCCTGAAATATATAAGAAGGAAATGGTATAGATATTGCTGGGCATGGGGTGGTATGTCGCCAAGTTTCTTATGAAAGATTACCAGCCTGATGAACGTTCTTCTAGCAGTGCTTGAGACGCAGAGCAACATTTGAACGCGTTACACGTCTTTTTTTCTAGAGATACCGCTTTGGCATAGGCTGTTACCAGCGAACACCTACAGCGTCCGATAATAAAACTACTCTAGGCAGAAGTGGAGATGATGGGCTTGGTGTTCATGTAGTTGCGTGGGACAGGTAAGTCAACTTTGTCTCTCTGCGGTTCAAGTTTCTGACATTTGACACCTTTTTCTTAGACTTCATCAGCCCTAAGATTTTGTGATGATTTCCAGCGGTCTAGCTTGTTGGTTAAAATCTCCGAAGGTTGAACCCATATTCTTACTCTTCTTCACCGCACTTCTGATATCCCGTGCTGGCAGACCTCTTCAACAAAGCTTTCTGCTTCTTGTTGGACCATAGTCACCGTCTAGCTTTTCTGGCCTGTTTTTTTTAGCTCCCATGTTCGGCTCAAGCGACATGAATGACCGCTAGCCTCGGAGGTGCATGTTCACTAAGGCCGAAATCAGGGTGCGAGGATGCATCAACTCCTACTGGTTCCCCATACATAACACTGGAAGAATCGACAGATTGCCTCTTCCTGAATAACAGCGATGTTTCCGGGACGAGTTTCCGGCGTCGCCCAAGTTGGGGATTTCTATTTCAAGAAAAATCATCCTAGTCTCGCCCGCTCCTCCACGTCGTGTCGAGACAGGCATAGCCGGCTATTAAATATGGGTCCTATTGCGGATATTCTGTGATGGAGCCCATACTACTCGGACAAGACAATGTGTCAGGTTACCTGCTTGCAGTGGCATCCCTCGAATGACATAAGGCGGCATCGCGAGTCCCTTACGGTACCTCGAGACAACCTGTTCGGGATAACCCTCGCACTTTTTTCGATTCTTCACGGCGTCGGATTGCAAGCCGTCCCCCTGGCTGCTCCTACTCCGTCCTTGTACTGAGCGTTGGTACCCAGACCTTATCAAGTATGTCAGTTAGAACCCAAATCAACGATGGAATTCCTGGTGCATGGCTGATGGAAGGACGAGCGTGAGTCTATCGTGGTTTTATAACGCAGCACGCTCACATCAACGTCAGAACAATCAATTACATAGTCACGTCAATTACACCTGGTGTACTTAGGTGGTATAGCCTGGTACAGCACGTACGACGATTACTAGGATCGCCTAAGGTTGGAAACATTCTTGCTCTTGTCCATTGTGTTCCTAACACTCCGTACTGGCAGGCTCCTTCAACAGCAAAGTCTTTCGCTTCCCCTTCGACGATGGTCTGGCCTGTATCTCCTCATCTCGTATGTATGTTGTTTTTGTTGACGTGGTATGTCAGTAATCCTTCAAGCAAATTCCAACGTTAACCATTTCCACGCAGGATTGCAGTTAATTTTCCATTTGAAGTCAAATATCTACTATCTGGCCGCAAGTTTGAACGATCCGAGTCAATGAAGCAACGTCTCCCAACTCGGAATGCTGGCTCCAAGTTGTTGGTCCCGACTTCGGACTCTTCGGCGCGCTCGAAGCTTGACTTTCTGGAATGATCCTGTCCTGCAACGTTATCCCTCGTGGCTAGACCGACCACAACTCTTTGTCAGTCCACCGCCATGACCGCGCGACATTGCCTAACAGCGTTGCTAAATTCTATTGCAGGAGAAACAGGAAGACACGTTTGTGATGGCGTCTGGATCTGAGGGCTCAGGGTATGGCTGTGGAGTAGCGATGTGCAGAGGCGGTATGTGGATGCTTCTCATGCGTGGCCAAGTGCGAACAGCTTATCACAATACAGGGAGAATGCAAATGTTTCTGCGCTTATCGACGCATTTGGCCTATTCTTGAGACCTGGGCGGGCACGCAATACACTCTTACAAAGTTCAGATACCTTCAAGATAC